ATTTTTGCTGTGGAAAATATTTTTAATAAATATAAAAATAAATGTAAAATTTTTATATAAATATAATTTTTTTTAATTGTCCACCATTTTGGATCCGCCATTTTGGATTTTTGAAAACTGATTTTGTTTATATTTGTGAATTTGACAATATTTGATACAATAGTATTGTAAAATTATTAACTGAAATAGTTGCGAAAAAATTTATTGGAAGTAACTAAATATATTTATAATTAAAATATAATTATATTATAATATATTTGTAATTTATTATTAAATATATTTATTGTTAATCAATAAAAATTGTATCTTTTGCTTGTAATTTTACAAATTTTTGTAAATTTACAGCATTCTAAGTTGGTTATTAAAAACCAATTTTTTTTTAAAAGTATTTTTGAATCATAATATTAGCCTATAATAATAGATTCATTAAATTTTAATTAAAGGTCTTAGTACAGTATGAGAAGAAAAAAAATTTTTTCCTGAGTTTCTGAGGATCATTCACTTTTAACAATACTCACATACACACTTACATTCAGTTACCTCACTTGTGTATATATAAAATACTCACACTATTTTTTCTACTTTAACTATCCAAGGTTTTTGCTATGAACAAGTCCAAGGAGTGCAAAGTGTCTCTGTCTCACTATATATATATATATATATATATATATATATATATATATATATATATATATATATATAACTGTCTTCTTACGCCATACTTTTTATTTTCTCACAGATTTTGTCACAAAATTATTCCACTCAAATTTAGAGGAATTTTCTCATAATCTCATTATGTCACAAAATTATTTTATCATAGTCACAAAATTATTCTTATTCTCAAATTTAAAGAAATTTTCTCATTATCTTATTATTAAAATCGCCAGAATTGTGAATTTTCAGAAGGCACCAAAATTAAGTATAAATAATTTAATTCTATAAAAAAATTGTAATTTATAATAATAATAATAATAATAGTAATAATTAATGTTAAAAATTTGTTTAAAAAAACGTTATTTGAATTAAGTAATCAGTTATACTTGACTATTATCAAATAAATATTTAAATAAACCGAATAAACTGCGTATTTAAACCAATAATTTAATAATAATAATTATTTAATTTAAATAAATATTTATTTGATAAAAGTCAAGTAACCTATTATTTGAGTCAAAAAAATTTTTTTTTTAAGAATCATAAATATAATTATTTTTTTTTCTATTACCTGTAGATGTTTTTAAAAAATACAATTTTCAATTATTTATTTTTGTTAACTTCTACGGATACAATAATTAATGTTTTTTTTTTACGCTCGTGTGCTTATTTTCATGGTTCTTTTTCATTATTAAAATTAAAATTATTTACAAACATATTTTAAGACACATGTTTGCCTTGAAAAATTATATCGGTTGTTAAAGTGTGTAAAAAATTAGAAAATCAGAAAGATAATTTTAAAAATTAATTTTTTTTCTGCAAGCCCAGATAGCACGTAATTTTGTAGCAACCTTGCGGCAAGCTTGCCGCGCAATATTGATAACCTTGCACGGTAAACTTAACGCAAGCTTACTGCAAGCTTCAAATGTCCCACCTGACCCAAACTTGCATGTTAAACTTACCGAAAGATTGCAGTGTAAGGTGACTGCAAGATTGCTCAGCTTTAAACCTGCAATCTTGCAGTAACCTTGCATTGCAATCTTTCGGTAAGCTTAACACGCAAGCTTGGTTTAGGTGGGTCATTTGGAGCTTGCAGTAAGCTTTGCTGTGCTATCTGGGAATTAAAATTTTTTTAATTATAATTATTAATTAATTAACTATAAATAATTCATTATACATTTATAACAAAAGTTCTGATAGATAACGTGTTTGTGAACCCTTGTAAGTTTAAATAAATAAACATGGAAAATTTTCTACCTCACGGGGATTGAACTCGCAACCTAACGCTTCGAAGTCTAACACGCTAAACACTACACTACGCGGACATGGGTATTTTAATGTAAAAATATTTTGTTAAGCTGCATCTGAGGATACAATTTAGCCATTAATGCGCCATTATTAGGCCGAGATTCGTCTCACTATTAGAGATGATAATTTGTCGCAAATGATTACACTTTTGCCATTAATGCTCCGACATTCGTCTTATTATTAAAGAAGATAATTTGTCGCAAAAGATTAAACACTTCTGCCACTGATACGCCATAGCGGGGCCGAGATTCGTCTCTATATTGGCAAAGACAATTTATCATAATAGATACAACACATTGGCCATTGTTGCCCCATTATTAAGCCAATAATCATTTTATCATTGGTAAAAAAAATTTGCTGTAAAAGATTCAAAACTTTTTCCACTGAGCAGTAATGGAACGATATTCGGCTCAAGTTTGACAAATTACAATTTCTAAAAATCGGTGCCAATATTGGCCCAGTAATGAAATTAGGCGTGGCCCAAGATTGGCCCAGTATTGGCGAACAACTCGTTCCAGTACTGGGACAGTATTGGCGGGAAACTCGTCCCATTACTGGGCCAATATTGGCACCGATTCTCGGAAATTTTAATTTGCCAATGAGACGAGATTTGCTCCAAGTTTGGAATATTAAAATTTCTGACAATCGATGCCAATATTGGTCCAGTAACGGGACGAGTTTCCCGAAAATACTGTCCCAGTACTGGAACGAGTTGCCCGCCAATATTGGGGCCACATTGGCAGTCGTGGAATTTTGCACTTAGGGAATTTTTATGGCCCACTTGGAAAGATTCCCCGGAAAGTGCCCCCTGGAGGTTCTATCAGAATTCCGCCGCAACTTCCAACGTAATTCCGTCGGAATACCATCGGAGTTCCAAAAAATTTCCGATGGGATTCCGACGGAATTAGGACTCTAAAAATTTTGAAAAAAATTAATCGGAACTCCATCGGAACTCCATCGGAATCCCATCGGATATTCTTTGGAACTCCGATGAAATTCCGACGGAATTACGTTGGAATTTCGGGACGCATGATTATGTTCTAAAAATCATTAGTCATAATTTACATTTTATTGAATTTTATTTGTCCTAATTAGTTTTGAGCCGAATTTTAATTTGTTCGAAATAGCATTTGGCATAATTTTCATCAACCCGATTTTCTATATGGCAGAATTTTTATATAACGGAAAATTCAACTCACAGAATTATTATTTCTTCGAATTTTTATTTGTCAGAATTTTTATTTGCTCGAATTTTCATTTAACATAACCGGCATTTTAAAGAATTTTTATTGGGTAGAATTTCATTGAATAGATTTTTCATTTAGATGAATTTTCAATTGTTTGAATTATTATTTGATATAATTTCCATATAATCGATTTTTCATACTACAGAATTTTTACTTAACCGACAAATCATTTAATAGAATTTCTAATTGATAGAATTTTCAAATGGCCGAACAAACAATCGACAGAAAGATTTCAGCGCGATTTTTAAAATCAACCAATCACAATTTTATGAATAATTTTTGATTGGTTGATTTTAAAAATCGCGCCGAAATCTTTCTGTCGATTGTTTGTTCGGCCATTTGAAAATTCGGACAAATGAAAATTCTATCAATTAGAAATTCTATTAAATGATTTGTCGGTTAAGTAAAAATTCTGTAGTATGAAAAATCGATTATATGGAAATTATATCAAATAATAATTCGAACAAATGAAAATTCATCTAAATGAAAATTCTATTCAATGAAATTCTACCCAATAAAAATTCTTTAAAATGCCGATTATGTTAAATGAAAATTCGAGCAAATAAAAATTCTGACAAATAAAAATTCGAAGAAATAAAAATTCTGTGAGTTGAATTTTCCGTTATATAAAAATTCTGCCATATAGAAAATCGTATTGGTGAAAATTATGCCAAATGCTATTTCGAACAAATTAAAATTCGGCTCAAAACTAATTAGGACAAATAAAATTCGATAAAATGTAAATTATGACTAATGATTTTTAGAACATAATCATGCGTCCCGGAAATTCCGTCGGAATTCTGATAGAACCTCTAGGGGGCACTTTCCGGGAAATCTTTCCAAGTGGGGGTACTAATTTGAAATAGTAAAAAATACGACTTACTTCATAAATTAGTAGTTTTCTACTAGCAATTAGTAGCTTTCTACTAAAAAAAGAGTCAAAACTGTTACTAATTCAATTGATAAACGAATCAGCACTCTTTAATTAGTAGAAAACTACTAATGCAGACACAGAAAATTAAAAGGCATTAAAATAAGCTGCAACGCTTATTATTTTAATCCAATTTTGCTTATTTTAATACCAAAATGGATTAAAATAAGCAAAATTGGATTAAAATAAGAAGCGTTGCAGCTTATTTTAATGCCTTTTAATTTTCTGTGGATTTAAAGAGAGTGTTGTATATTACGTCAAATTCGAATTTCTGAACAAATCTCAAATCTCTCAGAATTTTATCAATTTTAACATGAATTAAAAGGGAAAAATATTTCAGATTCTAAGTTTCTCATAAATTATTGACACTTATTTTCTAATCTTTTTTTTTTTAAAAAAAGAGGTGGACTGATAATAATTATACTGCATTGTAAATATATAAATGATAATAATTGATAATCGAAAAGGAAAACTGTATCCTCTTGAATTGAAAGGAAAAATTCTGTTTTTTTTAAGTAAAAGAATATTACAAAAATTTTAGTAAGAAAATTAAAAAATTTTATATATTATTTTTCTATTAATTTGAAGAAAAACAATATTACATGATTTGTAAAATTATATAATATTTGTGAGATTACTTTTTTTTTATTTTTTTTTTTGGTGCGTAAAATAAAAATTCATCATCGCGGAACTAATATGGCGGACTGAGACGGCGCACCATTCGAACCAATTCGTTTGATAAATGTGTTACAATCTCTCTTGTATATAGTTACTTAATACATATACATAGACACATATATATAGTATAGTATAGTATAGGTAGTAGTTTTCATGCTTGGATCACCGGCCGGTTTCTCTCAAACTTATATACGATCAGTCTTTCTTCGTTTGTAATCGTGGTTATACTCTACGCACGCAGATCCTTTGCGCACAGCTCCGCAAAGAGAGTATACGTTACAAACTATATTGAAAAAGGATTATTCATTATTTATTGTGTTCTTTATTTAAAAAAAAAAAATAAAATAAAAATAATGCCTTTTTTAAAAAAACATAATTTCATCTCTAATGTGAAAAATTCTATTCTCAGTGTGTAAAATTAGAAGAAAAAAAAAAGAAACAATTTTGTATACTAAAAAGTGTCTCCAATATTTATCTTGTTCAGTGGTTTTCTTTTATTATATAAGAAATTGTATAGATATATTTATTTTGTATATAAATATTTTTAAAAAGAATTACAAATTTTCAAATTCAATGCTTTTATATTATCATTGTGATGAGTAATATTTACATTCGATCAGATTCTTGAGAAACACGTGTGCCTTTAAGACTTTCATTAATACAAACTCTCATTTCGAGTATATATGGAACTTAATTAATCCAGGTATTTATTTATGTATAAATTGGTAGTTTAATAGTTCACCTGCCTCGTTAATTATTCTCGCAGTTAAATTCAATTTTTTTAACCCCATCGTAAACGACGCTAATTTTTATTTTTACATATGGTTATTATATGAGGATTATTATTTCAATTGTTGTGTTAGAATTTTTTTTAAATATATAAAAAAAAAAAAATATATATATATATATAAATAAAAAATTAACATAAAAAAAAATTCCTTTTACAAGTGCTTTTTTAAAAAATATTTTACCAAAATATTTCCGATTAAAATTATTTTGTTTTCAAATTATTAAACATTTTGTAAAATATAAATTTATAAATTATTATTTATTTATTTATTTATCAATATTATTTTTTTAAAATATTTTTTTTCAATTTTTTATAATAGTTTCGAATTTATATATCTATTTTTACTTTTTTCATAAAATAGAATTAAAACATTAAAAAAAAAAATTTATTTTTGGCTTTTTCATATAAAAAAAACCGCAGCACGGTTGTTTACATAGATTTATTGCTCATATATTTCAAGAGCCTTTGCCCCTATACGTTTGTTAAATAAATAAAAAAAAAATTTGAAAAATATAAAATAAAAATGGTTATTTTTCCTTTTTTTATAAAATAGTTTCGAGAAATAAAAAATAAAATTTTTTATTTTTATTCTTTTTATAAAATAGTTTCGAGAAATAAAAAATAAATTTTTTTATTTTTGTTCTTTTTAGTAAAATAGATTTAAAAAATATGCAAAAAATAAAATCGATATTTTTGATTTTCTTTTAATATTATTTAAAGTCTAGTAAGATTAAAAATTCACACCTATTCATAATATATGTTTATTTTAAGATGTAAATGTGTCATATTGAATTTTTAATGAATCGATTAGTGAGGTAATATATATATATATATATATTGGAAAATCACAAAAAAAAACTTTAACGTTTAAAAAAATATATTTGTTATTTCGATTTTTTTTAAACAATTTATTTAATTGTAATTTATAAATTATATTTAAATTTATTACCTATAACTGTGATAATTATTATTTTTGTAATTATTGTTTAATTTTAATATAATTTATTTAAATTTAATAATTATTGTTCTTCTATTTATTTATTAAATTTTTTTTAACTAAGATTTATTAAAAATTGAATTGAATACAAACAAAACCAGATAAATTCATTTTTGAAAATATTTTTGCAAATATGATTTATATTAATAATACAATAATATTATTGATAAAATAATATTTAAGAAAAAATTTTCAAAAATAAATTAAAAAATTTTTTTGTTATAATTTGACTCTCAATTTTTTGTTTCACTTGTATACATCCACAGAAATCTGTTACTTGCGTTCATTTGAGACAAAACAAAATATTTGTGTCAAATAAAAATATATTTGTCTCAAAGTCTGATGACTTTTTATTTAACACAAATAAGAATTTTTATCAAATAAAATTTATTTGATACAAATAAATATTTATTTGACTCTGAGAAAAATATATGTGACGCTGGACGAGAAAAGGGACATTACATAGAAAAAATTTTAGGTTATATTTGTGATATTTGGAGTAAAAATACTTACAGTGGATTAACTTTTAATAAAATTTATGTTTAAGTCTTTCTCACATTCAAAAAATTAATTAAAAATTAATTTTGATTTTATTTAATTAAAAAAAACAACTCTTTTTTCAAGGTAAAACTATCACTATAAACATAACCTAAAATTTTCTTGACGTAAGCATTTAAAATTATTGTGTTACTGAAAATTGAAATTTAAAATGGAATATATATTGATATTTTCATGAGAAAAGTAGGAAATATGTACATATATTTCAAAGTTGATTTACAATGTGTTTAGAAGAACATGTCAAACTCGTTTATTCCACTTTCTCAAAGAACTCTTATCTCGTGTACGTAACAATTGGTTATAGTTTCTTGTTACATTATCTTTTATAAGAAATAATATATATATAAAAAATCAAAAAATTTTATTTTGCTTAATGAAATTTATAATATAGTTGAATTCCTGAAACTTTGGTTATTAACAAAAAAAATTTTGTAAATAATAGATAAATTCGTTTTTGTTTAAATAAAATTTAAAAAATTAAAAAAACATTTAATAAAGAAAAATCGAACCAAGCACAGAATATAATTTTTTTATCGAAAACATACATATCCATTATTATTAATAAGAAAGCCTCAGTAATTAAAAAAATGTATTTTTATTTAACATTGAATTAATATATTATTATAAAGATGAAATTATATTTATTATTATATAATTATAAAATTATATTATATATAATTAAAAAAAATCTATTTTTGATAAAATAATCATTGAAATAATTTCGAAATTTTTCAAATATTACCGCGCTTTGCGTGAAAATTTCTGCGCATCGTATTTTAATTCGACTGACCGCTCATAGGTGGCTGTAAATTTTTTCCCACAAATGATGTATTCATTACCCTTAATATTAATAGAAGAGAATAAATTTTAAATAGTAAAAATTTACAGTAATTTCTATTTCTTTCTATATTTTATTCAGGAACTTATTAATTTTTTTTAACATTGACAATGAACGAAATTTTTATCATTTATACATTTTATACATTATTCACATAATATATGCGGTAATAGATAATAAATTGTTTAAAGCACAGTTGACAAAGTGGAAGGCATCATATATCTCATTTGAGTTGTGTTTATAGAAAATAAATGCGTATGCTCTTGTATAAATAATATTAAAACTTAAAAAAACTAAAATATATATTCTTGAATAGTGCAAATTTAGCGAGCAATGGCATCCAATTGGCTTCAATGAAAAAAAATGACGTCAATTGTTATCTTAAAGCTACTATATAACGTCAGTTTTTTTTTTTTCATTAACTAATTGCTCTTAATTGCACATTTGCGATTGACAGAAATTTTATATTGTACTTAATTTCAGATTAAAAATTATTTAATGTATGCTAATTTCACAAAATATCGTTTATTAAATCTCACAAATTCTTTATGGCTTTTACCATTAATCTTTCTTTTTTTTACGATAAAAAATGATTGAAAATTTAATCGAAATTTTATTAATTTTCAAAAATATACATTCCTATTGTTTTGATTTTTCCTCAATATATATTTTAGAGAACAAAATATTTATTCAACTCAACTGAATAAATAATTTAAGTTTTAAACAATTTTCATTTGGTTCAAATAAATATAGTTATTTAACGAATCAGAAGAGAAAAATATTCTTTTTACGTTTCTTTTATAATTAATATACTATATTTTGTTAAAATATGAACATTTTCCGAGTGTAAAAATGATTAAAAAAAAAAGATTTAAAATATTTTTTTTTCTTTTTTTAAATTGTAAAATAATAAATTTTGTTTAGTAAATAAAAATCGATCAATATTTATAAATCAATAAAATATTTTTTTATTGAACAATAATAAAAAGTTTTTGTTGCTTTTATTTTTTTACTATAAAATTTTGTAAAAAAAAGCAATAGTTTGACCTTGTCGTTAAAATTTATTTTATAAAAACATTTTCATTGGGACACAGAATTCTGCTAAATCATCTTATTGAATTAGCGAGAATATTTTTTTTTCGACGAACTTTTAGCCTGTGATATTTAGTTTCATGTAACATGATTGTCAATCGTTTATTATTATAAATTCTTGGTATTTTATATTTCTATTTAAAATAATTTTGTACATATGTTTTTTGTAATAATTGTAATTCGATAAGCGTTTCACATATTTAGATATAAAAAAAAAAATGTTAAAAAATTATAGTCAAGTTTTCTGCATTTTTCCACTGAATTGAATATAATATTTAGGAAAGAATACATTTAAAAAAAATTAATTTATAAAATATTCATCAAAGATTAAAAAATTTTTGCATTTACTTTAAAGTTAAATAGCGCCTTTGAATAATAACACAGCACCACAAAAAAAAAAAAAGTGTCATGTACTTTTGACCGGAATACCCTAATTCTATGTATTTCCGAAATTCGATATGTCTGATTCAATATTGAGGAATTATTTTTAAAAAATTGTCAGATTATTATGAAATTTGATATATCTACAGGTTTTCTAAGTTGCTGACAAGTAACACTAGGGAATTGTGCCATACGCCGATTTTTCTGAAACTTGGCAGTTTTGTAGTTTTTTGAAAACAATTTGACACGTATGTTTTGTTTTTCCCCAAAAGCTGATTTATGGGGGGACAACTACCCGTTGAATTTTTTTTTTGGTAGGGGGACATTATTTTACGAAATTTTTCAAAAATTAATGTGCAATAGTGTATCTCGGGATTTTTTGGGTCGCTGATTACGAATCTGATGCCAGTTTTCAAAAATTGAAAATGGCGTATCTAATATGGCCGACAGAAGTCCATGTTGGATATGCATTTTGAATTTTTGAAATCTGACATCAGATTCGTAATCTGCGACCCAAAAAACCCCTAGATACACTATTGAACATTAACTTTTAAAAAATTTCGTAAAATAATGTCCCCCTCCCAAAAAAAAAATCAAGGGTAGTTCCCGCCTTAAATCAACTTTTGGGGAAAAACAAAAAAATACGTGTCAAATTGTTTTCAAAAAACTACAAAACTGCCAAGTTTCACAAAAAATGGCGTACGGCACTTCCCTAGTGTTACTTGTCAGAGACTTAGACAACATGTAGATACCAAATTTCATAAAAATCTGACAATTTTTTAAAAATAATTTCTTAATATTTAATCAGACATATCGAATTTCGGAAATCTGAAATCAGATTCGTAATCAGCGACCCAAAAAACCCCTAGATACCAAGTTTGAAGTACTCTCTAAATCTGAATTAATAAAAATGTTTACTAATTTAAATTAGTGACTTACTTTTTGCTTTAGAATTAGTTAAATTTTACTAATTGTTTGTAAAAGTTACTAATAATTAGTAAAATTTTACTAATTGAGAAGCAAAATGTAAACTTTTTTAGTAATTCA